CTGAATTAAAAAAGCAAGACTAACTATATGCTGTTGTGCAGAAAAGAACAAAGCCAACCTGAGGCTGCTGTTGTTTGAAAGCCCTGCTTGCAAGACTGGCCCTTGGGAATATGAAGTTAGGGGGTTTCCATCATTCCCTAGCTGAAAAGAGTGCCTCATCTTGCCTAAATAGTTTATACAAAACAATGTCATTTATATATTTATTTTTTGAGATAGGGTCTCACTAAGACCCTATCTTAGCTTTCCTGCTAAAAGTCTGGGATACTGACATGTTCTGGGCTCACGGTTCCTATGTGACCAGCGCTGAGTCTCTAATGAGCTTCCTCAGATAGATAATACTTTATATGTATTTTCATACTGAAAGCCAAAAAAATTAAGCACACTGTATATCCTGGGTGACCAATAGGAAAGAACTCTAAAAAATTTGCATCTAGTTTCCTGGAAACTTTGCTCCAAGCACATTTTACCTTTTCTAATCTTTTTTTTTCTTTTTATAAGTACAACTATATGATCGTCTTGTGAGTCCTCTGAACAATCACTGAGTCTAGGGTGATCATGAGGGTCTCCACTGCACTTACCTAATAGAAATGGACTTCCAATATAAAAACACATAAAGGTTAAAAAAATGGAAAAGAGTCATGCATGTTAACACTAATCAAAAAAAAGCTGGAGGTTGGGGATGTGGCTCAAGCGGTAGCGAGCCAGCCTGGCATGCGTGCGGCCTGGGTTCGATCCTCAGCACCACATACAAACAAAGATGTTGTGTCCGCCAAAAAATWAAAAAAAATTTTAAAAATTTAAAAAAAAGTATTCCAATGGTTGGGAGGAGAGGAAGCATGAGCAAAGTGCAGAGGCATAATTGCCTGTCGATGGGATTTGGGCTAAACTGTAACATAGTACTCTTGAGAATAGGTTTAAAAAAAAAAAAAAGCTGGAGTATCTATGTTAATATCAGACAAAGCAGGTTCCAGAGCAAAGAATATTACCAGAGAAAAAGAGGTAATTTCATAATTTCATAGAGAGGTTTTTTCATCAAGATAACCTAAAAATCCTAAGCATCTATGCATGTACGCTTGGAATTTCAAAACACATGAAACAAAAACTAATAGAAAAAGGCTAATCTGAAAATATGTTCAGAAACTTCAATACTCCTCTGTCAATAATTGCCAGACCAAAAACACATGAAACAAAAACTGATAGAAAAAGGCTAATCTGAAAATATGTTCAGAAACTTCAATACTCCTCTGTCAATAATTGACAGACCAAGTAGATTGAAGATAAGTACACAGATGGTTTGAATAGCACTATGAAATTGACCAAATAGACATTTACAGAATTCTCTATCCAAGAACAGAAAAATATACATGCATTTTCAAGTATACACAAAGATCTAATAATAATAAATTACATTCTAGTACATAAAACAAGTCTCAATAAATTTAAAAAGATTCAAGTCAAACAAAGTATGTTCTCTGACTAAAATAAAATTAAACTAGAACCAACAAAAAATTTTCTGGAAAATTTCAAAAAATATAAAAACTAAGCAACATATTTCCAAATAAGTCAGAGATTAAAAAAGGAAATCCAGGGGTGAAGTAAAAAAGTATTTTGAACAGAATGAAAATGAAAACAGTTATAGTTTGGATATGCTCCTGTTAATGCATGAATATTCAGAGGTGAAATGACTGGATTGTGAAATGACTGGACCTGTTCATCGTAGTTTGAATGGACTCATTGGGTAGTAACTATAGGCAGGTGGGGTGTGATTGGAGAAGATGAGCCACTGGGGTATGTTCTGAAAGGTGCATCTTCCCTGGAGCCCCTCTCAGTTTCCTGACCCACCATGAGCTGAGCAGCTTTGCTTACTGAGCCCTTCTGTCAAGGCATGCTGCCTCACTTGAGCCCAGAACGGACTGAGATCTCTGACACCCAAGCCTCAAATAAACTTTTCCTCCTCTAAGTTATTCATGTCARGTGTTTTGGTCACAGTGATAGAATAGCTAACTAAAACACACAGTATGACAAAATCTGTGAGATGCCACTAAACAGAACTTGGGGAATAATTTATGCCATTGAACTCCTATATTAGAAAGGAAGAAAGTTCTCAATTATCTCAGCTTCCACCTTAAAAAAGTAGAAAATAAAGAGCAAATTAAACCTAAAGTAAGTAGGAGAAAAGAAACAATAAAGATCAGAGCAGAAATCAATGAAATAAATACAAGCCAGATACCATGGAGTACACAGATAATCCCAGCAACTTTAGAGGCTAATGCAAAAGTATCACAAGTTCAAAGACAGCCTGGGCAATTTGACAAGACCTATCTCAAAATTTTTAAAAGAGGACTGGAGGAGACATTGGGTGGTTCAATTACCAGTATCACTCGCCACCCCTRCCAACCAAAAAGAAAGAAAGAAAATAGAAAAAAATAAACCAAAAGCTGTTTCTCTCAGAAGATAATCAAATTGATATAGCTCTTATCAGTGTAATTGGTTAAAAAAAAAGAGAGAGAGAGAGAGGAGATACAAATTACAAATATACCAATATCATGAATAAGAAAGGTTACACACTATATTTTAACATACTAAGAATAATAAAAGAATAATACGAACAAATTTTTGCCAATAAATTGACTTCAATGAAACGGAGGAATTCCATGAAAGACAAACCACTAAAACTCAATAAAAAAATGCACAACCAGAAAAGCCCTATATCTATTACAGAAACTTGATCTGTGGCAAAACTTACAAATCTTCCCACAAGAAAACTCTAAGACCAGATGGCTTCACTGATGGATTCTATCGAATATTTAAAGTATAAATAATACTAATTCTAGACAAATTCTTATAAAATTTGAAAAGAAGGGAATACTTCCTACCTCATTCTATAAAACTAGAATTGTTCTGATACTTAAACCAGATAAAGACATTACAAGAAAACAACATTCTTATATGCCTCATGAACACATATACAAACATTTTAAACAAAATTTTGGCAAACAAAATCTAACAATATTTGAAAAGGGTAATACTTCCTGACCAAGTGGCAAAGCTGGTTTCACACTGAAAAACTAGTAATGTAATTGACCACATCAACACACAGAAAAAAAGATTATTTCATTAGTTGCACAGAGTAGGATATAGTAGTGCACACTTGTAATCCCAGCTGTTCAAGAAGCTAAGACCGGAGGACTACTAAATTCAAGACCAGTCTTGGCAACTTAGACCTGTTTCAAAAAAGAGGGTAGAGGACAGAGGCAGAGGATGAGGCTCCGTGGTAAAGTGCCCCTGGGCTCAATCCCCAATATTTAAATAAATATTTAAAAATATAAAAAGGGCCGGGGTTATTAGCTCAGTGGTAGAGCATTCCTGAGTTCAATACCCAGTACTGGAAAACTTTTTTAAAGTTTCCACATTTGAAAAAATTCAATATACTTTCCTTAAAAAAAAAATCAGCAAACTAAGAACAAGGGAGACCTACCTCAATCTGATAAAGGATATTTATTTTAAAAAATCTATATGTAATATCACATTTATTAATGAAAAAATAAATGCTATATGAATACCTAACCAGTGAAACTCCACATCATGTACAACCACAAGAATGGGATCCTAATTAGAATACGCTACACTCCATGTATTATGTAAAAAAACACTCATCATGTATACCTAAAAAGAACAACAAAAAAAAAAAACAAAGAAGAATGCATTTTCCTTAAGATCATCAACTAAACAAAATGTCCACTCTCACCATTTCTATTCAGTGGAAGTTCCAGTCAGTGTAATCAAGCAACAAAAAGAAATTAAAGTCATAAAGATTGGAAAGAAATTAAAAAAACCTTTATTTGCAGACAACATAATATTATATGCAAAAAAATCCTACAGAATTAAAAAAAAAAGCAGCAACAAAATATAGTGGCTAGTAGTGTAGCCCAGTGGTAGAGCACTTGCCTAGTATGTGCAAGGTACCATCACCAGCACTGCAAAAAGAAAAAAGCAAAACAAAAAAATCTACCAGAATTAAAGAGCAATTTTAGCAAGGTTGCAAGATACAAGGTCAATATAAAAAAAAAAATCTATTGGAAATCATAATGAAATACCACCTTATACCCCTTGGAATGACACTATCAAAAAGACAAGTAAAGTAAAATTGTTGACAAGGATGGGGAGCAGCTGAAAACCTCACACATTGTTGGTGGGAATATAAAATGATGCAGCCACTCTGGAAAATGACAGTTACTCAAAATGTTAAACAGAGTTGCCACATGACTCAGAAATTCCACTCCTCCCTATATATTCAAGAGAATTAAAAGCTTATATTCACACCAAAAGTTGCATTAGAATGTTCAAAGCAACATTATTCATAATAGCTAAAAAAGTACAAACAATCCAAATGTTAATCCAAAAGAATGGATTAACAAAATGTTATATCTATATAACATATGAGAATATTTGGCCATAAAAAGGAATATAATACTGATACATTCTTATGACATGGGAGAATTTTGAAAACTGTATGTTAGAGAAACTTTGAAATATGTTTGTGCATAGATGTATAAATGAATGTTCATAGCTGTGTTATTTATCATAGCCAAACATCTATATGCATAAACAAAATTGTTGTATTCATACACTGGAAGGCAATTCAGTAATAAAAGGCTACAAACTACTGGTATATGCAAAACATGGGTGAACTTCAAAACATTATGCCAAGTAAAAGAAAAAAGATTAAAAAGATGACATTTCATTTATGTGAAATTTTGAGAAAAGGTAAAGATTGTAGTGACAGAAGGAGACCAATGGTTGCCTGGGGGTGGAACTGCAAAATGGCACAAAATAATTTTGGTGGATGATGGAAGTGCTCTAAAACTGTATAGTGATGGTTTTACAACTGTATATATTTACTATAACTCATCTAACTGTACTATTACAAGAGATAACTTTATGGGACATTAATTATGCCTTAATAAAGTTTTTTAAAAATAAACTATATATTCACTTACCATTGTAGCCTTCAAGAACAGAATCAATAATAGGTCTTGCAGTTAAGTTATAAACATCAAGTTGTTTACTTTCTGGTCCAAAAACAGTATCAAAAGTAAATGTTTTTGGAGGTTCATTGGAAGAATCAGTCTTATGTACAGTGATAGTTCCCCTCATCTCATCCACACTGACAGCCTGTTTGTAACACATGGATTTTTCTCTCTCATTGAGGGGACGGCACCTAACAACGACCTTCACATTATCGCAGCTTTCCGGCTTCTCTGATTTATTGATCTGTGGAGACAATATTTACAAATAATGAAAAGAACATTTGCTTTTGCCATCAACCTATTAAATTTATAATTTAAAAAGGACTGTGTTGCCATCTCAGTGTTCTGCATATGTTAGGACTTCATAAGTCTTCATTAAATGCAATTAAAGATCTCATATATATACAGCAAAAGCTTATTAAAAAGACATTAAGGGGCTGGGGTTGTGGTTCAGTGACACAAGCGGTGCCCTGGGTTCAATCCTCAGAACCACATTAAAACAATAAATAAATAAAATAAAGGTATTGTGTCCAACTACAACTAAATATAAATTTATTTATTTATTTATTTATTTTTTAAAAAGATATTAAGTGGGGCTGGGATTGTAGCTCAGTGTTAGAACATTTGCCTGGCACTCATGAGGCACTGGGTTCAATCCTCAGCACCATGTAAAAATAAAATCATTGTGTGCATCCACAACTAAAACAAGACTTAAAAAAAATATATTAAGCTATGGGGCTGGCTGTTGGTAGAGTGCTTGCCTAGCATGTGTGAAACACTGGGTTTGATCCTCAGCACAATGTAAAAATAAAATAAAGGTATTGTGTCCATCTTTACTATTTTAAAAAAAAATTTAAGATATTAAACTAGGCCTGGTGTTATACACCTGCAATCCAAGCAACTTGRGAGGCTGAGGCAAGAGGATTGCAATTCCAAGACACACCTCTGCAATTTATGGGGGCCCTAAGCAACTTAGTGAGACCTATTCTAAATAAAAAATAAAAAGGGCTGGGGACATTGCTCAGTTATAACGTGCCTCTAGCTTTAATCCTCAGTACCAAATAAATAAATTAAAAAATATTTTCTTTACAATGCAAAAGAGGGGATAGAAAAACTAATTTATTCTATAGTAAGCGCAGAAAATGAACTAGTATATTATTGACTGTCTTTCTGCACAAAGTCCCTGACAGCCGGGAGCAGGGGCACTTGCCTATAATCCCAGCAGCTTGGGAGGCTGAGACAGGAGAATCTTGAATTCAAAGCCAGCCTCAGCAATTGTGAGGCACTAAGCAATTCAGAGCAACCCTGTCTCTAAATATAATACAAAATAGGGCTGGGGATGTGGCTCAATGGTTGAGTGCCCCTGAGTTCAATCCCCAGTAAGAACAACAACAAAAAAGTCCCTGACATTCTGAGTTTCCTGCTTATAAGAAAACACAAGGAGCATGAGCATGGTTAATAAATTTAATTCAAGAATATAGTGTGGGGGGGGGGCAGGCCTGGGTTTGTGGCTCAGTGGTAGAGCGCTTGCCTCATACGCATGAGGCACTGGGTTCCATCTTCAGCATCACATAAAAATTAATAAATAAAATAAAGATATTGTGTCCATCTACAACCAAAAAAATATTTTAAAAAAAGAAGATAGTCAGTCCTTAGTTCCCCTGACACATCTAGTTTTATTTTCTATAACATATTAGTAAAATTATTTTAAAAATATAGTTCCATGCATGGCTTATCTTCTTTATATAAGACAACAGGAAGTTAAGAGTGAAAAAAAAAAGTACAACAGCAGACAGAGAAACATGTCTTAGAATGACCTAAACTCAAGAAACTTGTATATACAAAGTTTCAATTTTTGAAATTATAAATCAAAATACAATTCTATTACTGAAATGAAGCTTAATATTTCCATTGAACATATACTTATCAAATTCCTGTTTTTGATACTCTTATAAACATTAAAAGAAACATGTAAGCCATTGACTTTGAAATTGTCATTGACAAGTTAACAGATAATACCAATTCAACACATTTCTCTCCATCTCTACCTTCATTACCACAATCTAAGACCCCATCATCTAGGCCCTTTACTCCTGTAGGATGTCGAATTAGATTGTCCTACAGTCTGTACTCCTGGCAGTCAGTATCAACACAGATCTAATCATGTTGACTCCTCTACTTTAAATTCTTCAATAGTTTCTCATAGATCTTAGGCTAAAAATTTTTAAGGTGGTCTGTAAGATCTGGCTGTTGCCCATGTCTACTTCTTCTCCAGGCTTATTTCACAAGATACTTCACCTGCTCTCAACTACATCCACCCTGGGTTTTATGGTCTTTTCTAATCACCATGCTTCTCTTTTACCACTGGCTTTTCCTTGTGGTATTCCTTCTGCCTAGAACATTCCTTACCCCCCTCTTCATTTAGATAACATTTACTTATCTTTCAGAACTCAACTCAATAGCCACTTAATCTGGAAACACTTCTTTAATTAGGTCAAATGCTTTTATAGGCTCTCAGAGCACCCTGCTCTCTTTTCCAAGGACCAAATTTTACTCTCTTCCTTATTTGATTAATGTCTTTCCCTCTGTCTACATCAGAAATGCAAATGAATAGTCAAGGGACTGAATTCAGCCCATAAATATCTTTTATCTCACAGTACTTTAAAATATTAGTTGGTAAAATTTCACAAGCACACAATTTCTAAAGTCTCTTAAAAAACAGTTGATCCATCTCTAATAAAAAATACACAATTTGATATCAATGTAGRCTAGCATTCCTACATGGTAACACTTTCCAATCACTAGTATACACTAGTTTCTACTTTATGCCACCCACTCACTTCATGCTTTAAGAATGTGTATTATCTCTCTAAATGTGTATGACTTTCACCTCTACCTAAGAAAGCAAGTCTTTTTTTTTTTCCAAATTCAAAAATGCGTCTGGTTTTGCTCAATACTGTATCTTCAGTGCTTAACATGTGGTTGATGCCCAACAYTGACTGAATTAATAACTTGAAAACAATAAAAAAGATATAGAGTAATGAATGCTAAATGTCAAAACTGTTCTTCGTCTCCTGTGTATTATCTTATAGAAACCCCACGAAGAAAAGTTTCATTATGCAGGAACTAAGAACCCAGACAGATTAAATAATTATCCGAGGCCGCATAACCAATAAATAATTCTCCAAGGCTCAAGTTTTCTCCATGACCCTTTATTGGACTTAAAAAAAAAAAAAACCTTATTAAGAGAACGGTAACTATGTATATCCACCACATACACACACAAAGACACCTACAGGTTACATTCTGCRCGGTAACTACAGCGCCACAAGAGGAATGACAGCTCAAACCTAGGAAAACGCAAGTCAGGGCCCTAAAACAGGGACTGGCAACCTTCGCCCGGCCACTTTCCGGGGCGTATCTCCGCTGCGCAGACCCCACCTGGCGCGGAGCGTACGAACGACCCTCGGTGGCCGCCCCCAGACGCCCTACCCAGCGGGCCGGGCTGGGAGCCAGGACGCATCCTCTGGCACAGTGCCTTTATGTCAAACAGCGCAGGCCCCATGGGATGCAGCAGGGACAAAGGCAACAGGGCCTGCTCCCGAGTGCTTCCACAAGAGGGCTGGACCCCCACGGGCCCTGGGCCCACCTGCCAGTTCCCTTAATGGCCAAGACCCACGGGGTCCGGCCCTGCCCCGCCCCACCCGGGCCTCCCGCCTGCTCCGCGCTTCTATGGCAACGGCCGCGCCCCCGAGCCAGGCCGCTGGGATGAAGAACCCTAGCGGCTGAGTGGCTCTCCTCACCGGCATCGTGGCCCACTCCCGTGCCCGGGAGACGTCCCCAACCGGGGTGTAGCCCAACGACACCGGGTCCGCAGGAGAGGGTGGCCAGAGTCTACTGAAACACCTCCTGGGCGCTCTCGAGACTGCGGCTTCTTCGACTAGAGTGTGCAGTGCGCAAGCGCACTCCAAATTCGCCCCGCCCAATCCCAGGTTTCGGGCTCCCTTGGCCTCTTGAACTACGCATGCGCGGAGGCGTTTCAAGTCCATCTCCTAGGACACCAGACTGAGGCCGCGCCTGCGCAATGGTGCCAATCCCCTGTGCTAAAGAATCGGTTAGCCCTGAGGAAGGATACCTGGCAGGGGACCGCTGGGAGAAGGAGGCGCTCCTAGGTCGCAAGGCTCACTTATCTTCTGAGACTTATAATATCCCGAATATTGAAAGCAACAATAGCATTTGTACATTGTCCCACCTGGAGAGCTAAACACCTTATATACGTTACCTCGCTTGATTGCTAACTTGTTTATGACCTGTTTTACCATTAGGAGGTGAGCTTACAAGAGTCAGTATTCCTGCGTTTATTTCCAGAACCTAACAATAAAACTTGGCACAGGGTGGGATATCAATAAATATTTGTGAAAGAACCAATGATTTGGKTTTTTTTGGTCCGAAACTCTCCTCTCCCCTGAGCATCAGTTTACTTGGATGTGTAACAAACATTTGGAGTTTAGCACAATCAAAAATGTAAATCCTCATCCCCTCTCCACTTGCCTCCCAGACTCTTAATCTTAAGCCCCTAAAAAAAAMCAGATAAAATAAAATAAAAATAAAAATAAAAAAGGCTCCTCTGACTCATCTCAACAACTAGACAATTGCTCAGATTAAACTGCAGTCTCTTTCTCACACCCAATATCCAGTCTACTGGACCTATCTTCAAATTTAAGAACCAGAATATGATCACTTACCATCAACATCTTTCATGTGCATTATTACAACATCTCAGAACTAATTAATGTCCTTGATTGCATCCTTGACCTCTTTTAGTATACAGTCAGGCCTCCATATTTGTGGATTCTGCATCGTTGATTCAACCACCAGCAAATCAAAAGCATTTGGGAAAAAAAATTCGCATCTATACTGAACATATACAAACATTTTCTGTCATTATTCCCTAAAAAGTATAGTGTAACAATTCTTTACATAGCATTTGCTTTGGACTAGGTATCTAGAGATAATTTAAAGTATATGGGTGTGTAGGCTATATGCAAATACTATGCTGTTATATGAGACTCAAACATCTAAAGATTTTTATACAGAACCAATCAGAGGGATGACTATATTTTCAACACAGGAGCCAGAGTGATGGTGTTGAAATATGAATCAGATCTTTTCTCTCCTCCAAATCCTCCATTGATTTTTCACCTCACAGAGTAAAAACCACAAACCCTCCCTCCACCTCCTATGGTTTTTATTCTTGGTTCTTCACCAGCCCCACCAGGCCTCCTTGAACATTCCAGGCATGCTTCTATCTTAGCATGCAAAGGCTGTGTGCTTGCAGCAGAAACTAATGAAAATAACTATAAAGCATTTTCTTACTGCCAGTGTAATGTTCTAAGTGCTTTATTTTCTTTTTTAATCACTTAAGCCACACAATAATCTTTCAAAATAGGTAGTATTTATTATCTTTATTTTACAAATAAAGAAAGTGAGGCACAAGGCCAATAAATAACTTTTCCAAGGTCACACATGTGGGCCATGATGAAGTCCAGCTTCAAACTTAAGCAGCCCAGAAGCTCTTCTCCTTGATACCTCACTTGCTTGCTCCCTCACCTCCTTTAGAAAGATTTTGTTCACAAGATACCTTCTCAGTGAGCCCTAACATGACCACCCTATTTAAAATTTCAAAACTTAGCTCCAGTTTTTCTTATTTCCCCTCTCTACTGTATAGTTCTCCATATTACTTATCATCATCTGATATTTTATATATGCTGGTTATACATGCCAACTTCATTTGGTTTTCAGGCCCTGGAGATCAAACCCAGCGCTCTATACATGCTAAATGAGTTCTCCACCACTGAACCACATTTCCAGCACTTGAACATATGTTTTTATTTCCCTCGGGTATGTATACCTAGAATTTTTGCATCATTTCATAACTTTAATGTTTATAACATTTTGAAGAACTTCCAAGTTGTTTTCTACAGTAGTTGCACCATTTTAAATTCCCATCAGCAATGTATCAGGTTTTCAATTCTCTATACACTCACCAACACTGTGTAAAATAGTATCTCATTTTGGTTTTAAATTTTTCATTTCCCAGGTGACTAATGGTGTTCAGCATTTTTTCATGTATTTATTGACTATTTATAAAACGTTTTTGGAAAAATATCTGTTCAAATCCTTTACCCATTTTATTTGTCTTTTCATTGAGTTCTTTATATATATTCTGAGTGCAAATCTCTTTTCTGATATATGATATACAAATATTTTCCCCATTCTGTGAGCTGTCGTTTTACTTTATGATGATGTCCTTTGAGGTGCAAAAGTTTTCAATTTTGATCAAGTTCAATTTCTATATATTTTCTTTTGTCCTTGTGATTTTGTTGCAAATTTAAGAAACCATTCCCTAACTCAAGCTTGTGAAGATTTTCTCTCCTCTGGGTTTTCCATTTTTAGCTCTTATATTCAGGTCTATGATCTATCTCAAAGTAGTTTTTTGTTTGTTTGTTTAATTGTTTGTTTCATTTTGTTTGTGGCGCTGGGGAATCAAATTCATAGGCTTGCACATGCTAGGCAAGTGCTTTACTATTGAGCTACAGCCCCAGCCCTCTACTTACTGTTGTATATTGATAGACATGGGGATCTAATTTCATTCTTCTGCATGGTTCTCTTCCAGCTATCCCAGCACAGTTTGCTGAAAAGAATATTCTTTTCCCTACTGAACTGGCACTTCTGTTGAAAACCAATTAATCATTCCTAAACTCTTGGATCTAGTTCACTGACCTATACATCTGTCCAAATGCCAGTACCACACTGTCTAGAGGAATGTAGCTAAATTTTTAAATCACATAGTCTGAGTCTCCAACTTTGCTCTTCTTTTTCAAGATTGTTWTGGCCATTTTTTTTAATACCTTTGTTTTATTTATTTATTTTTATGTGGTACTGAGGATCGAACCCAGGGTCTCACACATGCGAGGCAAGTGCTTTACCACTGAGCCACAACCCCAGCCCCTGTTTTGGCCATTTGATTCAGGGATTTTCACCTTGCATCTCCAAAGGAATTTTAGGAACACATTTGTCAATTTCTGCAAATAGGCAACTGAAAATTGAACAGTGATTCTGCTGAATCCATATATCAAGAAGTTTCGCCTAAAACAATTTAAGTCTTCCAATGCATGAACACAGAGTGTCTTTCCCTTTAGTTATGGAAAAAATATATATAATGTTCCACTTAATTTTAGCAATGTTTTCTAATTTTCAATGTACAGAATTTGCATTTTTATTACATTTACTTCTAAATATTTTATTTATTTTTATGCTGTTGTAAATGGAATTTTTAAAAATTTCATTTTCAGATTATTCTCTGGTAATGTACAGAAATCAAGTTGACTTTTTTTTTTCTTTTGGTACCAGGGGTTGAACCCAAGGTGCTTAAACACTGAGCAACATACCCAGCCCCCACCCTTTTTTTCAAACAGGATTTTGCTAAATTGCTTAGGGCCTCATTAAATTGCTGAGGCTGTCTTTGAACTTGTGTTCCTCTTGCCTCAGCTTCCTGAGCCACTGGGATCACAGTGTATACTACACCTGACTCAAACTTTTAAAATATATTGATCTTATGCTTTGCAAATTTCCCACCTTCTTTATTCTTCTAATAGTAGTTTGTGTGTGTATTCTATCCTTAAGATTTTCTATGTACAAAATCATATCATCCAAAAGTAGTGTTTGTTTTACTTCTTTCTGTTTAGTCTGGATCCAAACCTTTTCTTTCTTTTTATGATCTAATTGCCTCCTATACAATATTAAACAGAAGTAATGAGAATAGACATCCTTGTCTTTTTCCTGATCTTAGTTGGGAAGCATTTGGTCACTGTTAGGCATGATGTTAGCAGTAGGTTTTTCATAGATGCTTTTTATCAAGTTAGAGAAGTTCCTAATTTGTGGAGTGTGTTTTATTATGAAAGAGTATTGGATTTTGTCAAATGTTTTTTCTGGCTCTATTGTGATGCTTGTGCATCTCAGTTGTCCTTTATCAGATAGGTGTACATGTGTGCATGCATGTGTGTGTGTGTGCGCGCGCGCACACACACACACACACACACACACACACATTTTGGGATATTAAACCAAGCTTGTAGTTTTTGTTTTTAGAAGAATCTTTTATTCATTCATTTATTAATTGGTTATAGTATCAGGGTGATCCTGGCCTCATAGAATAATCTGAGGGTAGGGAGCAGGTTCTTTTTAGAAGGGTACCAATCCTACCATGACAGCTCTACCCTTATGACCTCATCAAACTCTAATTACCTCTCTGAAGCCTCATGTCCATAAACTATAAAATTGGAAATTAGGGTTTAATTTTATGAATTTTAAAGGGACACAAACTTCCAGTTAATAATACAATCCCTATATACTAATACAACTGTTTAATCCACTTACAGTTAATATTATTATTAATACTATTCAATTTAAGTCTTCTATTTTGCTTTTTGTTTTCTGTAATGTCATGTCTTTTTTGCTCTGCTATTCGTTTTTCATTTAGTTAATATTGTCTAGTTTAACCTTTGAATTCTTCCATGGTTATTTTACTGTATTTTTTAGTTATTTTTATTAGTGGTTGCTCTAGAGCTTTATATATGTGTGTGTGTGTGTGTGTGTGTGTGTGTGTGTGTGTGTATACACACACACATATACATACATATATAATATTTATCATGAACAACTTCAGATTTATACTAATTTAACTTCAGTGATATATCTTTTAAATGGTCTAAAGAAGCTGAGAGGAGAGCTAAGCTTAAATTATAGTTTGTTACATTAACCTTCTTATTTACTATTTTTATTTCTCTTCATTTTTCTGTGGATTCAGGTGACTATCTGGTGTTACTAGTATTTTATGGTGCCATTTCTATCCTTTTTTAGCATATTATTTACATATTTCAAAAAATTGTCTGGTGGTTACCTTAGACTTTTCAATGTACATTTAAAACTAATGCATTTAGGGCTGGAGTTGTGGCTCAGTGGTAGAGCACTTGCCTGACATTTGTGAGGCACTGGGTTCAATCCTTAGCATCACATAAAAATAAATAAAATAAAGGCATTGTGTCCATCTACAACTAAAAAAAAATTAAAAACTAATGCATTTAAAATTAATCTACTTCTAACATTTTACTGTTTTACAGGTAGTGTGAGTACCTTATTACAAAGTATTCTTTTTTGAAAATATTTTTTAGTTGTCAATGGACCTTTATTTTATTTATTTTTATGTGGTGCTGAGGCTTGAGGCCAGTGCTTCACACATACCAGGCAAGCACTCTACCACTGAGCCACAACTCCAGCCCCACAAAGTATTCTTAATTCTGCCTTTACATGCCTGTATCATTGTTGCCATTTATTTTGCTTACCCATAATCTATAACTATATAGCCTATATGTTTTAATTTCAATAAATTATTAGATTAGTTAACAACAAAAAGTTTATTTTACCTTCATGTATTCCTTAATGTTCTTTTTTCCTTTATGTAGATTTTTGAGTCTATGGTCTATATGATTTTCCTTTTTCTCTGAAAAAAATATTTTTAAATATATTTTTTAATATTTATTTTTTTAGTTTTTAGGTGGACACAATATCGTTATTTTATATTTTATGTGGTGCTGAAGATTGAACCCAGTACCTCATGCATGCTAGGTGAGCACTCTACCACTAAGCCACAACCCCAGCCCCTGAAAAAAATTCTTTTAACATTTTTTTTCAGGACAGGTCTACTTGTGACAAATTCCCTCAACTTTATTTGCCTGAGAAAGTCTTTATTGCATTTCACTTTTTAAGGCTAATTTCAATGAATACAAGAACTCTAGGTTGGTGGGGTTTTTTCCTATCAGCACTTCAAATATTTCATTCCACTATCTGGCTTGCATGATTTCTGAAGACAATTCTAATGTGATTCATATCCTTGCTCCTCTATAGATAAGGGCTCCCTGCCCCTGGCTTATTTCAATTTTTTTTCTTATATTTGATTTTCTAAAAATTTAATGTGAACACCTAGATACATTTTTTTTTTTTTGCATTCATCCAGCTTGGTGTTCTGTGAGTTTCATAGATTTGTGGTTTAGCATCTAACATTATTTTGGGGAAAATTCTCACTCATCATTACTTTAAATATATCTTCTGTTCCTCTTTTTTCTCCTTTAGTATTCCCACATATTTTAATAATCCCATACATTTAATGGGATTAAATTTTAACAGCATGTAACTTGCATAAGAAAATGTATAAATCACAAGTATAGACCTTGATCTGTTTTCACAAGGTAAACATACCTATGTGATCAGCATCGAGATAAAGAAATAGAGCATTACCAGCCCCCCATGAGCTCCTTGTGTCCCCTTCCAGTCATATTGCATTCATCTCCAAAGGTAACCACTTTCTCCATTTAAACAAGGTAATGAGTTTTTCTTGTAAGGCTGGATACAATGGAAGGCAGCTGTCATCTCAGCTACTAGGGAGGCTGAGCCAGGAGGTTCATTTGAGCCCAGGAGTTTGGGGTCAACCCTGGGCAATGTAGCAAGACCCCATCTCTTAAACAAAATCTCATATAAACCAGTCATACAGTGTTTCTGTTCCCTTACACTCAGTATGTTTGTGAGATTCTTCCATCTTGCTAAGCATAGTGTAGTTCATTATTCTTCAACAAAATGCAATATTTCATGGTGTGAATATACCACAATCTATCTATCTCATTTAGCTCCTGATGAGCAGTTCAGCTAGAGTTTGGGCCTTAGCAAATAATGTGGTTCTAAGCATTATGTGTCTTTTGGTACACACATGAACATTTCTGTTGGGCCTATACCCAAGAGGGGAATTGCTGGTATTTGTGTGTGTGTGTGTATATATTTTGGCACCTGGGATTGAACTCAGGGGCACTTAACCACTGAGCCACATCCCCAGCCATTTTTTGTATTTTAGTTAGACACAGGGTCTCACTGAACTTCTTAGGACCTCGATAATTTGCTGAGGCTGGCTTTGAACTCAGATCTTCCTGCTCTAGCCTCCAGAGCCTCTGGGATTACAGGTGTGAGCCACTGTGCCTGGTTTATTTCCATATATTCTATTTTTGTTTTTTGTCTCTCTCTCCTAACTGGAATGTAAGTATCATGCACATTTTGTTCACTGTTATGTTCTGGCACCTAACATATAGCAGTCCTTCTATAAATAACTACTGAAAAGATAAATGCATGCATGGATGAACTATCTTTTGAGGGAGGTATCATCACTTTTTTAGAGAAGGAGACTCTGAGAGGTCACACACTCACTGCAGGTTGGAAATTCCATAGCAAACCTGTCTTATTGAGGAGCTGAGCTCCTGATGCTTCTCTACCTGTATCCCCAAATCTGTACTATGAGATAAGACACAGGATGTGTGCTCGGACACGAATGTCCAGGGTCGGCTTGGTCACTAGCCACCACACGGAGGCTAGGAGAAGGAGGGAGAAGGCTCAGGCCACAAGTGGGGAAGAGGCGTACAGAAGGTGTATGTGGAGATGGGAAAGAAAGATGGGGATCTTTCACTCACCTGAGTGAGCACAGGTAGTAGTAGTGCCGGGTGTGCGCCGCCCATCCCCCCCCCCCCAGCTAGTGCCAAGACCCTGCGCCTCCCGGGCGAGGGCTGGGGGTGGGGCCCGCCGAGCCCTCCCCTACCCCGGAGCTCCGGCTGCAGAGTCCCTTGCACTGGGCTATAAAAAGCTGGGTTAAGCCACGACTCAGACCTAGGATCTTTGCCACGCCATGGCCTCAGACGCGCGGCTCCCACCGGAGCGGTCGGCCTCGGAGGAAAGCGCCTTGMAGAGCTCTGGGGGATTTAGCCTTCTCCCGCCTTCTCCTAGCAAAGCCTCTCCTGCCGCGCCGCCGACCTCCAGCGAGTTGCAGGCGATCCTCAAGCCTAGGGCGGCGTCCTTCTCCGCGCCGTCGGCGAGCGGACCCCTGCTGTCCCAGCACCCGGCAGCGGTAGCTCAGCAAGCCGCAGGCGGGGTCCGTGCTACCGCTCCGGCCGCGTCCCCGCCACCCACACAGCAGTCCTCCCAGCGCGATCATGGTGTGCCCTCCGACTGGAGTGGCCTGTTGGACGAGCGCAGGCTGCTCGTTCACCTGCATCTGGCCCAGCTTCGCGAAGAACGTCTGTGGAGGGGCGGCAACCTCCAGGTACCGGTCCTCGGGGCGGGGCCCTTCTCACTGGCGGATCCTCTCCTTCCGCCATCAGGTATCTAAAACTCAGGGGGCCCGGCCCTTCAGGTGCGTCTCCATTCGAGGCACTAGGCGGGATTCCCTGACTTCCCGCACCAGGAAGGAATTTTGCTAATAGTTGCCTCCTAACCGGCCCTATTGCATTTGGGGAATTAGAACCAAAAGCAGGTGCCCTTGGAGTTGGGGTACCAATGGGTGAGACGCCGGGCCACCGGGCCACCGACGGACACTTAATCCCATCCCGGGATTAAGGTGATAGGGCTTCCCATAGCCCCTCCGTTCACCTTAAGCAGGCAGCTCGTGCTACCGGTGGACACGGGCTGTCCCAAACTCTCCCTGCCCACCTTTTCAATCAGGCTGAGATCTGCAATGACTTCCAGAAAGTCGTGTTGTGGCTCCTGAAACGTGAGAACATCTTTCACTTCTCTCAGACCACTTTTAACCTGGCTTTCACCATCCTCAACCGCCTCCTGGTTTCAGCGAAGGTAGGGAGGCCTCTAAGGGATGGTGAGAGATAGTGGGACACGAAACTAACCTTTGTTTCCTATTGCTACCTGAGAAGTGAGTGCTCCATATACATAAACCAATGCATATAAACTAAGTCACATGCCCCAAGTGGTAAAGCTGGGATTAGATCCTCTCCATGGACATTTGTCTGGGTGTCCTGTGATCCTCAGGATTGGACTTGAGGACCTATTTGGGGAAGGGCTTCCTGTTGAAGTAGGAAGTCCTTGTCTGGACCTGTCAAGCTGGGCTTGAGGCAGGACAGGATGGTATTCCTGAAAAAGTACCATATTTCCTAACTCCTTTCATCCCCTAACAAAGAATTACTGACTAGTCACCAGTGATTCTGAAATCAGAAACATCTTTGTTGGTAATATTTAAAAGTGACACCAACTGGGTGCTGATGGTAGAGGCCTGTGATTCCAGCTACTTAGGAGGTTGAGGCAAGAGGATGACAAGTTTAAGGCCAGCCTTGGCAATGTAGTAAGACCCTGTCTCAATATAAAAAAGGGCTGGCGATGTAGCTCAGTGGTAGAGTGCCCCTGGGTGTTAGAGTTTCCCCCTAGGGGAAAAAGTTTGTTTTAATTAAAGAAAATATCCCCACAGATGCTTTGCAGTTTATTTCTGGCATTCATAGTCTTCTCAAATGTGTTCATACTGCAGATAAAAAGGAGGTTACTCCAAGTTATCACAATTACCTCCTTGAGACTTGCTGTAAAAATGAATGAAGAGGAGGAGGTATGCATCCCTGGAAGTCTGCACTGGGCCACATTTGAAGGATAGAGATGTGACACTAGAGCACTTGGGTTTCCTGAAAGGCTGTGCCCTTGGGAATGATGAGCATTTTGGGAAAATCACTTGGGATCTCTTCTGGCCCCCACCCCCGCTCCTGCCTTTTGGCTTGTCAGGCTCAGCCTTCACAAATGGGGAAGTACAAACATCTGAACTCTCCTGACCCAGCAAACCCAGAGGCCTGACCTCCTGGCACATACTTCTGATATTATTGGTAAATGCCATGTGTCACGCCCACTAAATAGAGGCATCTGCTAATGAGAAAAAAAGTCTTCCAAAACCATGTGGCTTAAAGTCTACTCCCAGAAACTATGTCTAAGAAAACTGCTTGATGCTTAAGGACTTGGTTATGCCAATGAACTTAGTCCTTGGGGACTCTGGGATCCTTCTTCTGAGAGGGGCAGGAAGGCTATGTGCTGAAGGTAAAGGAGAGTCCCTGCTGAGTGCTTCAGGTTTGCTTGCTTGGCCACCTTAGTTTCACCATGTTTTTCTGTTTTGGAGGAGACTGTCTTTCAGTACCCTTCCCAGACCTCCCCACCACCTTCTGAGCCCTTCTACTTTGGAATGGGGAAACTGCTGTCCTTTCCAAGGGTCTCCTTTAGCTGATCTCAAAGTCTGAGGAAGCAGGAACAAAAGGCTTGTGTGTCCAGTTCCAAACTTTCAATAAAAATGTTTTTAACCCTTATTTATTATAATTTATGCTCCCTGAACTTTTTTTTGCCCAATGAAAAAATCAAGTAAATAGCCCTTAAAAGAAGTATTTCTGAAAGTTATAGTAATATTTTAAATACCTGAAAAAATAGGACCAAGTTTTTAATGCACTTGATACATCAGTGTTTACTCATAGACAAGTTTTATTATTCCTCTGGACTAAGAAGTCCCTCTGGAGAAAAGTCATATTTTTCCCAGAACTAAACCACCTTCAATGCAGGTTGAAGGGAAGTGTGTCCAGCTGTAGTGGTGCAAAAACCACAGGAGGTTTTGTCAATGTGCCTGCCTGGTGTGGACCAGGAAGCTCATAAGCAGAAACTTTCTATAAGAAACCATGGTAGGGATCAGGAACAAGAATAGTCCAAACCCATGGCTCCCGAAAACCTTTGAAAAGTTCTTGTAGCTGAACACAGGAACTGGAACAGCCCCACCCAGTCTCCAAAGCACCTTTGGGTCTGAGCTGGCATGCAGTTGGGGGATCAAGACCTGTTTGCAGAGGGTGACCATGTGACATGCACTACAGTGTCATAACTTCTGGGGACTTGATAGATAGCCAAGGTCTGATTTGGTTTTTCTTTTAGAAGCATTTTCTGTGGCATGCCACTGGAAGACAACTCTGCTCAGGTTGTATATGCCCAATCCCCCACAGATAAGAAAACAAAAGCTACTATGACATAATGTAGGGCTTTGGCCTCTTTATTTTCTTTTTACAGTTGATTCCACGCATAAAAGACTTCATAAAGCACTATGGCTTTGGCTACACCCCGAATGAGCTGCTGAGGATGGAGCTGGCTATTCTGGACAGACTGCACTGGGACCTACACACTGGGACGCCGCTGGAATTCTTGACTATAGTAAGCATGAGGAGTTTGCCGAGTCTCCCTGAGACTCATTTGTGCCTTTGGAACAGCTGTTCACAACATAGGACAGCAAAGCACAGGCGTGCACACGTCCTTGCACATGCACCACGGTGAGGTGACCCACAAGGCTCACAACATACGGGAGTGAAAATGTATCCAACACCATTCCACCAGACTCCCATTTCTGAAGGACATTAAGTTTACTTGACAAAGATTTTTAAACGGCACTATTATGGTGAGTTTCTCTTTTAAATACACACTGCAAAAATATTTAACTTTCCATTCTATGAATATTGTACATAAATATCTGTCTGCTTTTGCTACACTTTACACACATTCACTTAGCTGTCTTTATTCACCTACACACAATCCTTATTGAGGCTTTAGACCATATTGATCTGGCACTTAAAAAAATATCATACATTAGTTTGGGTTTGTTTTAGTTAGGGGAATGATCATCATTTTCAAGGATATGATTCTGTTAGTAAGGCAAAATTATGCAATGTGAAAATGTCATGGGATTTTGGTCTGTTATGAAGCATGAAGATTAAATTACTAAGGGATGTTTCATTATGAAAACTGACCACTGTTGCCAAGTTGAGTTTCTTCTAGTATCAAGCAGATACAAGTAACTTTTCTGCTACTTTGATCTTGAATAGTATGTTTCTATTTTTCAGATTCGAAACATTGTCATCTAAGTACTTTAGGCCTGCAAAGACTGTCACAAAGCAGACTGTCTTTTTTTCTCTCCAGGGTTGAGGCTCAGGTTGGCCACAGAATGGGCATTAAGCCTCAAGCCCCTCATGGGGCCATGGATGAGAAGGGTTGGGCCACATTTGATGCTCCCTGAAGGAAACGGAGATTGTTTGCACTTTTGGTCATTGATATATGAAAAGTATGGGGTTTTCTGTTCTAACATTAAAAACCATGGTCTCCAGTTCCACTCCCTGGTGGTCCTGAGCCGGCCCCATGTGGTGGAGCTGCTGCCTCAGAGGAATCCTTCCCTCCACGTCGCGTCCCTGACCAGGCAGCTGCAGCACTGTATGGCGGGCCACCAGCTGCTGCAGTTCAAGGGCTCCACACTGGCTTTGGTCATCATCACCTTAGAGTTGGAGAGGCTCATGCCCGACTGGTGGACTCCTATATCTGATCTGCTAAAGAAAGCACAGGTAGACATCAACTTTGCCCCAAGCCTGGCTCTGAGTTTTGCCCCTTTAGAAAATATAGTGTGCCCCTGAAAGAGTACTCATGGCCCTTCTTGGCCCTTGTGAGCTCCAGAAGATGCTCTGGCCTTGATAACTCTGGCAAGAGTCTGCCTAAGGGCTACGCATTCCACACTTGGCCACACTCTGTGGACATCWGTATGAACACCTGCACCTTCACTGGATCAATGCAGGTGGGTCCCTGACAATGAGAAATTTTATCCTCAATGGAAATCCTTAGTGSCAAGAAGATTGGGTGTGTGTGGAGGGGAATGCCCAGCTTAGAAGGAAGCTTAATATTGGGAATTGTAAATTGCAGACCCCACCCCACCCCACCCCAATCTGTCTGAATCTATGGCACCAGGCCCTGGAGGGTCAGAATCCCTGCAGGCAGATAGGTCAGGATGGAGCTGTGCAATTAGACTCCTGACAGTTTACTGAAGTTGGAGAGGGAYGTCCCTGACCCAATGGGGTTAATGCTGGTGGGTTGGGTGGTTGGATCCTGCTTGGGTACTCAATTGCCTAAACAGGCTGGCCACTGTTTTAACACAGGTCATCTGTACCGAGCAGTACAGCTGCTGCAAGGAACTTGTAAAGCAGCACCTGGGAAGTTTGAATCAGCCTCCCGCATAGGCAGCTCCGTTCCACCTGCCACCCAGCCTCTCTGCCACTACCCTGGTTCCTTCACAGCATAATGGGAACCCTCCATGAATGGACTCTTATAAATTCTTTGGCTTTATGAATCCTGTAACAAGACAGGAAGAAGGCCCAGAAGAATAACTGAGAAAGATCCTCTGGCCCTAAGAGAAAAATTTCAAGAGAGGGGAAGAGTGGGTCATGATCAACAGTAGCAAGGGTGGTCTGACAGATACTATCTTGCCTTCTGCCTTCTCCCCCCAACCTAGCAGGTAATAAATGCATGCTTCAACTGCACTTGTTTTTCCTTCCTTCTCCAGCAAGGGCTGATATTGGCCCTTCAGAGAGCTGAGGCCAAAGGGTGGGCCCTGCTTAAGCCTGAAAGGCTGGGGCTGGTCCAGATCCYGACTGACCAGTTCTTGCTGTTCTACATGCCAGAGCCAGCCAGGTCCATGTGTCCCAATCTCAGCTCCCTTGCAGCCCCTTCAAAACTGGGACAGTCTCTCCAGACTCATTTACCTTGATGGGTCTTAGCTTAAGTCTTCTCCACAAGGTCCTGATCTTAGAGTAGACCTTATTTAAGGTACAGTAACTAAAAAATGCTTTAAGCACTGTTTTCCCTTTGTTACTGTGAACCAAAGTAGTTTTTTAATCTAAGTAGAGGAATTTCATGCTAATTAATGGAGATTACTGGGTGACACCTGTGAGGGGAAGGCAGCAGTTCTGAGCGCTTTTGTTGGGGTAGACAGGTTTCGAGGCCCAGCCTGCTCCAACCACTGTGCTGCCAGGAAGAGGAGGATGTTACTTGTGTGGCTGAGAGAAAGACCAGCTGCCTCTCTGAAGCCATGATACTATAGGGCCATTCTCTAAGCAGTAGAGCCCAGCTGGCCCAGAGGCCAGCTGGAGCTGTGTAAGCAGTGTTGGGGATTTGAATGACTAGGGCACACATTTAGAGGTGGTTTGTGAAGTCTCTCCACTGTGAATGGTTGTTTTCAGGAATGTGCTAAGCCATGGTGGGTAGGGATATGGTCTGCTACTAGGGGCAATTTGGTGAGAACCAGATATACTATAATCACATCTATACTAAAGTCAGTATACATCTGTATCTTTTCTTGACACAAGTTTGCCTATTGGAGCTTCTGTAAAAAATAGACTTTAATTGCTTTCAACACTGTCTTGAATCTTTTCTTGTACTTACGGAGTACTGTGCATTCAGACTTCTAGAGTCAAATACATTAGGAACACACTCTCCTGGGTCCTATTCATAACTATCCTCCAGGTAGATCCTGGAAGGACCAAAGTGAGAAAATAGGGACTGAGGTTGGGGAGCTGAGAGGCCTAAAAAAAGACTGGTATGCAAACATCTCCCATGAGGGTGTAGGTCAGTTCTACATCTGGTAGGCAGGTGGCAGAGAGGCAGAACCTCCAGTACCCATTTTACAGATGAAGATGCAGCTGCCTGGCCACCACTGCCCTCTGCCTCCTTGCCTCTAATGTGAGTGAGCACTGCAGTGGATGAGGCAGGAGTTCATCCTGAGGACCCACACCAGGCTTTGGGGAACTGCTGGGAGGCATCTGGGTCTTGTAACCAAGTGGCTCTACATGTAAATCTTAGTGAAAGAAGACAGACCTGTGATTCCCGCCTTGTTGTTCAGCTGTTCTATAAATGACGTAACCCTTGTTGGGAAGCTAACACTTGCATTGCCAAAGTACCAATTGTACATTTTTAAAAGTCTGTGCTGGTCGCCCTCCTTGCCTCAGAGTACCAGATCTGTGCTAGTCCCCTCTAACATTTTCCCCTCCTGACATTAGGAATTCACATTCCACTTTGGAGCAGACACTAGGGATCCTCTGTAGGGGGATTAATATGGACACAATCCATCTTTTGTCTCCACCCATACAGAAAGGCGGGGGTTGGTAAAGGACTGAGGCTGCAGAAAATGGGAGGTGGTGGCGGGGGGAGTGTCATGGATTTTTCTTAAACATGTTCAAATGGTACTTCCCCCACATGGGTGAGTCAAGTTGTATAATATTGCTCCTTCCACCAAGGAGGCCCAGCTCCCTCTGGCTTCCTGGAGAGTCTATCCTTCAAAGTCTGGTGAAGACTTTGCCTCCCTTAGGTAGAGTTGAACTACACCTTCAGCAGGGGTGTCAGTATCCAGTCTTCCCGTTGGGCTGTCAACTCCCCAACCTCAGTCCCTATTTTCTCATTTTGGTCTTTCCAGGATCTGACTAGGTCCTAGAAAGAAAGCTTCTCAACAAATGGACCAACCATATGTGTTTGTTATTTTCTCCAAACACAGTTTTGTCTTTCTCAGCCATTTACCTGTATCCGAGGGCTTTCCACTCTACAAAACCTTCCCAGGTCCAGCAGCCCACACTGTCAAACTATATACCCTAACAATGACCACATTTCCAGTCTTCTTACATGAGCCTACTGGGATGCCAAGAGGCGGTTACAGCTTGGGACTTAAGGGTACAGACAACTAATGTTACAATCCCAACTCTTCCATTACTTGCTTTGTGACCTTAGGTAATTACATTATCTCTCTGTGCCTCACCTGTGGAATATGGAGAATAATGGTATCTAATTATAGGAAACTGATGAAGATTAGAGGAGTTAATGCATGTAATGCAGTTGAGAGCACACAAATGTTAGTTGTCCCGGGTCAAGGCTCCTTATAAACTCCTTGAGGGAGTTTCAGTCTCATTTCCTTAACCCAGTTGCCCAATAAATATTCATGCCACAGACTTCATTTTCTTTTTCTTGCAATTCTTTCCTCCACCCCACACCATACAAAAGCCCTTCAGAGATGTCAATAGCAGGATTCACTATTGAAACATAACTTCTGCAGAAGTAACTCTCATGAAGTTCACAGAAAAGACAAGCTGTATCTTAACACAACTGTAGCGTATTAATAGGCTCAGGAAACTTGTTAAATCAAAACTTCTGTCCAAAAAAGACACCATAAAAACTCAAATAAATGCAAAATTTAATGGGGAAAAAAAATACAAAGTGAACTGAAAAGAACAAAAACAGTCAATGAATGGAGTAAATGAATTAACAAGTGAAGCAGTTTTAGAAATGCATGTTAACATAACAGACTAGCAAGCCACACTTCCCTCAGGCCTCTTATCCAGTAAAAAAACAAAACAAAACAAAAAAACAAAAAACCGCCAAACAGGGAACCCACACATGGACAAATAAAAACATAAATGCAATCAATCTGAACAATTACAAGCCTCCTATGCTGATGAGGGATACCACACATTCTGGTTTGCCTGGGATGGTTCTGGTTTATGGATGTTGACCTGGCTTAATTATTGACAGCATCCCTTTTCTCTTTCAAAAGTCCTAGTTTGGACAATAATTTTATGGTGATTCTACCCCAAACCAACATAGTTCAGGAAAGACATAACAGTAAATGCCAACATGATCCTATATGACATCCCTAGTAATACCAACGAATAATAACAAAAAAAAAAAAAGAGGGGAAAATCAGATCTGCACATGGGGGCCATATTACATGAGGGGTAGATTAAATAATCATGCATTATGCTCACCTTGTATACCAAGGATTCATTTGGTCTCAGCTAAAGATGACAAAATCCCAAACACAAACAGGAGCAGGAGAGCACAGTAAGACTTGCTAAAGCTGATGACTGTGGGGGCAGCTCAGACCCCAGAAAATGCAAGTCTATCAGGTCTCCCCAGAGATGTTGGGAAGTCTTGGGCCTACGGGCAAGCAACTGGCCACAAGTATGGCCTTCCAGTATGCCTGGGGTGTGGCCAGCAGGTGTGGTGGACGGGTGGCAGAATCTTCCCTTTCCAGAAGCCTCAGGTTGGCCATGAGCCAGGAGTCCTCATTTCTTACATAACCAATGAACCTGTTGGGTCACTGAACCTCATCGTCAGATATATATTAGCTACAAGAAGATATTTTAAAGGTCATGCTTTGACCCAACTGAATACACTTTCAGATATACAATTACCCCAAGGAGGAGTCGCTCACCATCCACATCTGCCTTAGGTCTGCAGTTGACCTTTTCAGATACCCAGAATGAAGTATCCCTTTCCACTCACAACCAGAGGTGGATTAACTGCAAAGCTGATAAGGCTTAATCTTCAGGGTCCCTTCCAAGGCCCTGTGCCTAATTTTTCATTCACATTCTTTTTCTTAAACCAATCGTCCTAAATAGTTCAAGCTTCCAGCTCAGTGAAAAAGTCAGAATCCACCCCTGGTCATAGCATAACACTTGGAGGATTTTCATAACATTTACAGCATAAATAAAACCTGCTCTACTCTTGGCATATGGAGCCCCCCATATGTACAAACTGCCCCTTTCTGGCTGTGGCTCAATTAGACATACAACAGCTCCCTACCTCCACCTCACTTGGAATGGAACATCATTTTACAAGGGCAGGAGGAATCCCCAACTTGGTCCTGGAAATCAATCAAGCAGGCCAGGGCCAGGTAGAAAGGGGGAAAGAGTGATGGAAGATGGGGGCATGAAAAACTGCCAGCCCAGCAATAAATCAACACAGCCTCCTAAGACTCCTGGTGAGGGAGTGCCTTGAGGAGAGGGCTGGGCTTTCCTCCAGGTGGCACCAGGCTGCACAGGGCTGCAGCAACCTTGAGGCTAGTCTTCCTCTCATCTCTTCATTTTTCACCAACCGATTTTCCCGGCCATGATTTTTAACACTCATATATCCTGGTGGTGCAAACCATCAGAAGCAAAGAAGAATCAGTGCTGCCCGAACGTTAGAAAATGTTCTGTTGTAGAATGCAGCTGAAGTGGGGAAGGCTCCTTGACTGCTAATTTGTTCTCAAATTGTCCTAAATACACCAGAGACCTTCATTCTGTCCTGTGACTCAGCCAGGAAAAAAGAAACAATGAGTTTGGGGCAATAGCTTTTTCYCCACTGGAAATAACTCATTTGGAACACGCAGGATTGGCTTGAGAGCCTTATTTGAAGTCGAACACTTAACACACACACACATGGAGTTGGTCCCTGGTTACAGCACCTTGGGGGCACAGAGACAATGGCTTTGGGCTGCTGTTCCATTTACATTCACAGTAAAAACGCTGGACGTGGTCTCGTTCATGTTCACTTTCATTCCRTAAAGAAATTCCAAACACTGTCATTACAGGAAGTTTATTACCCACCTCTCCCTTTATATTATAGGGGTACTTTTTTACATAAGAAGGTTTAGAGATATTTTTAGTTTTTAAAAAACCAGGAAGTCTGTGTTACTTATGAAAATAACGGGAGAGGATATTATTTGTCTTTACGCTGGTGCCAAAATAAAAATTTAGAAGTGTTTCAAAGTTATTATTGAAATTAAACTCTAGGTTAGAAAAATTAAACTGAAAGGGAATCGGGCAAATTTTGCAGCATGTATACCAGACCACAGGCCACACCTAGGCACCACGTGAGCTGCCATCTTGACGCTGAACAGTTAGGCCTAGCATCGCCGGCAGGGGCCTTCACTAAAGCGGCACATAACTGCTCCATCAAGGAATAGTGACACTGTAAATGGAAGACCAGCCACTGGCTCTGAAAAAAATAAACCTCATCAGTTTTGGATTCCAGCATTCATGGCTTTTAGGTATTTGCATAGAGAGGGGTGACAGGCCAGGCCCAGGGGCAGCCTGGAGCCAGATTGGGGTAGGGGCAAAGCAAGGCTGTAAACACTGGAGTCTGTACCGGCTCCCAGTCCGTCCTCACACCATGTTATGGGAGAAGGGTCACAAGGTGTAACTCAAGCAACTTAACACATGAAAGTCTAAAGTCCGCTCTTGACATGTAAGTCTGTGCGTGCGTTAACTGAAAAATAAAAATAAAACAAACAAAACAAAAACAGACACATTAAAAGATACACAGACCAAATCAAACAGAAGCAAAAGACAGCAAGATGGACACTGGGAAAGGGCAGTCAGTTTGGCATTTGTGACGGGCAAAGCAGAGAATTCGCTTCAGTTTGTGACGTCCCAGGCTGAGGGTCAAGATCTGATTGGGAAGTAATTTTTGCAAAAACGGATTAAAATCTGAAGAATAAGTACAACCAATCAATGCTGTTCAACTAAATGGTCACAAAAAATACCCACCCGTAAAATGCACTCCCAACCCACCCTATCCCCCTGACCAGGGCAAGAGGAAAACATGCCCCCAGTCACCCACCCACCCACTCCAGCCTCTTTAGGCCAACACGGGAGGAGTTCTCTCTCCCAGGGCCAAACCGACTGAAGCTTTCTGGCATATCCAGCAGACAGGAAGAGCCTGTCTTCCAGGCCTCAGCCAGGACAACAATGTACCACGGACACCAGACACCAGGGACAAGCCCCCACTGAGAGCTCTGCTGGTCCCCTGCAGCCAGTCTGCACCCCACCCCCACTGACCCTCAGGCCTGAACTGGTCCTTGTTTTCAATGTCTGTGGTTTCTCCACAGCATGTTTCCTAGGGGATCATGCCTACTTTTTCTTTAACAAGATGACCTGGGCCAAGCTGTCAGAGAGGAGGGCAAAGTAACTTGGGTGCCAAAGACTTCACCCACTGCCCCCCAGAATGATGTCCAAGATGGTTAAACTTGCTTATTTCCTGAGGTGGTAAGAAAATAATGGTACCAGCTCCAGGCTGGGGAAAGGGAGATGTAAGGATAGATAAGAGTTCCACAGTGTGGCATGGCATGGGACTCTGAATGAAGTAGGGTAGGTGAGGGACAGCCAGGGCATCTGGACTCAAGTTAAGGGTGTATAAATAGGACATGAAAAATATCAAGGAGAGCTAGGGGTATAACAAAGTGGTAAAGCACTGGCAATATGTGTGAGGCCCTGGGTTTGATCTCTAGTACCTCAAAAAAAAAAAAAAAAAGACAACAAACAAAAAGCCAAGAAGTGACTCAGAATTGCCCCAGTTGGCTGATAAATTGACAGCACTTGTGGAGGCTGAAAAAAAAAAAATGGTATCCTTTTCTCTTCCTTCCCTACTCTATATGAACAGCTCTAACCTCTCCTGGAAGGGCAGCCCAGTTACCTGGCAAAACCAGAGTCCTGCAGAGAGCTGCTATCCTTTCAGCCCCACATGCCCTTCAAAACAGCTGAGTAGTAATCACAGTGTCCAGGTCAGTGCTAGCTGGCCTTGAGTCCCGGCTGCTCTTGGTTACCATCTGCCAGCCAATATGGGTCCCACACCCACCATCTCGGAGGCCGAGGATGGACAGCTATGGCTGTCTAAGCAGAAACCACAGGAAGTTTTGGAATCTGGCTAGAAATGCTGACAGTACCAGGCCTGGTTCCTCTCCTGGCCCCAGAGACTTCCCCAAGAACCCAGCAGCTCCACCCAGGACTCGGGGGTCAGCCTTCCCCATGTGCAGCAGGCAGGCCCCAGCTGCTGTGGGCGCTGCAGGAAAAGAAATGAGTGAGCAGAAGAGGGGGGGGGGCAGTGAGAAAAAGAAAGGCAGAGCCAGGAAAGGAGAGGGCAAGATCACCATGCAAGAGAGCACAGGCCATGAGAGAGAGATGCAGATTATGGTGCATCGAGAGCACTAGTGCAGAAACAAGAATAAGAACCATGAGCAAGAAGAGGTGGCAGAACAAGTGAACATGAGGGAGAGCAAGACAAGGATGAACCAGAGAGAAGGCCAGGTGAGCCAGAGACGAGCAGGAACAGCAGAAGCCAGATCCCAGGGTGAGTGCACAGGGTAGAGAGAAGCCAGTGTAGCGGGGGAGCCCACCACTTACTTCTTCTTGTCCTTGTCCTTCCTCAGGGGCTGCTGTGAGGTGGCATGCAAGGCCTGGGACTGCAGAGCCTCCATGGCAGCCTTCCTGCAGTTGAAGGCACTAGTCTCCTCCTCCAGTTCCCGGCGCTTTTCCTCCACCTTGCGCTTCTCCTCCTGGTGGATCCGCTTCAGGTGCTCAAACTTCTCCTGGAGCTGGGACGGAAGGAGAGGCACTTTGACATGAAGAGGGAAGGAGCTGGGCCCCCACATCTAGGCCTAGCCAGTGTCCCCCTTGCTTTCCTCACCACCGCCCCATCCTCGCACACACACCTCCCTTTCCTTCTCCTTCAACTCCAGCTCGGTCTCCTTCACTTTGTTCACAAACATCTGCCTCATTTCTTCCTCCTTTCTCTGCAGCTCACTTAAGAACTCCTTCCTCTTGGCCTCATATGTTTCTTGTAGGCTGTGGAGACCCAAAGGAGAGAGATTCAGGGTAGGATTATGGAGAGAACGGGTGGGTCAGGACTAGAGAAGTATAATCAGGGGGACGCTGGGGTGAAGAGGAGGCTGGGCTTCCAATAGCCTCTGCCTGGCTCATAAGACCATTGGAGGTTAGAGGCCGGTGTGGCAAGAGTAGCTGTGGCTATGAAGCTCAGGCTGTCACCTGAAGGGCTGGCTGTCACCATCACTGTCCTGGAAGCCCATTTCCTCCAACTTGCAGCGCCGGTAGAGCTCATAGTGCCGACTGTGGGTCTGCTCACGGAGGTCCTCCATATTCACCCGGATCAACATCTCCCTTAGCTTCACGAAGTCACAGTGATTCTCGTTCTCCACTGAAAGCAGGGGGCATGTGGGGCATGTGGCAGGCACCCAGTTGGGCAGGGGAAGGGCAGCATGCAGAAACGTGGTCAGAGTGCCACAGGTGGCAGGACAGGATGGGGACTAAGTTCACATCACCAGATGGGAATGTGCTCTCTCCTCACACTCACCCTGCACCACACCCCAAGGGTACTGCCGTGCTCGGACCAGCTTGTTCCCCACCTTCACCTCCTCGGTGCTGCCCACCACGGCAAAGGGCAGGTGAGCCTAGAAAGGGACCCAAGTATGTGTGAGTGCTGCATTATAGAGGGGGACACACAGACTCTCCCTCACTGCCCCTGGGTTCCAGGGAGGGGTTACCAGACCTGGGAAGGCCCTGGGCCCAGAGGCTCATTTCCTGGCTCTCTTTGGATAAATGTTCTCTTCCATACAGGGTAGTGGGCTGAAGCCTCAACACCCCCTCCCTGATGTACTAACTCTCTAGGGTGTTCTTTTCAGGGCTCCACAAATGGACCTATGGATCTGGTTCCTTTTAAGGTTCCCATACTTTGGCCTCATGTCTGCTCACTCCTATAGGCTTTAAGTTCCTACTCTGAGTAAAAATATTTTAGCACTCAAACCTAGGAGAACTCCAGTGTGGGTCCAATATCCAAGTCCTCTTGTCCCCTGCCCACAGGAAATAGGAATGGCTCATGCCAAATACTCATCTGCCTGTCCTGGAGAAGCTAATGCTGGAATCCTGGGAAACAAAGGTCTCCTGGGGCTGTCTGAGATTTGTGCTGGCTCCAAGCCCTCTGGCCCCAGAGCCCTGAGACCCTTGAGCATCACTCACATTCATGACTGCATTAATCTCTGCAACAGCCTCATCATCAGTGGGAAATTGGTAGATCTGGACTCCATTGCTGACCAGCTCACCCATGATCTTGATCTTGAACTTGTGGAGCTCACTCTTGGAGATAGTGTCAGCCTTGGCGATGATGGGAATTATATTCACCTGCCAGACCATAGGGGTGTGGGGCACACAGCAAGTTAGTTAGTCTGAGCAATGGTCCCTGACTATGGACAGCTCTAAATAGAGGAACAGGAAGCCAAGAAGATGGAACTATCTCACAGGCAGTACCAGCCCAAATCCAGCCATCATAATTGGCTGTGATGCTTCTTACAGTCCTGGTCTCCGAAACAACCATCCAGCCTCCTGGGCATACCAAGCTTTGACCCAGAATGCTCTGAAGGTCATAACCAGAATAGAATCTGACAGAAGCACTGATGGGGAACCCCTCTAAGCAGGTAAGATGACTTTTATATCAGCAGAAGATATGGAAAGATATTAAAATCTCCCAGGACAAGGTTATCATATTTTTCACATTAGTTCCTAAGCGGGGGAGGTCACCTGAGAGCTGACARGTGACTGGAGTCACAGGCCCTCCAGGATCTCCAACCCTTCCTGACATCCCCATGAAGATGCTCTTACAGTCTCACAATACCCACTGCTTGTTCATATCCCAATTCTGGGGCTTCACTCTCCTCCCCCTAGAGGGCTCAGGATCCATGTTGTAGAAGAAAGAGGAAGTGAAAGTGGGAAGTAGGAAAACGGAAATGAGAGACAAAATAAGCAGAAAAAAGGCTGAGACGGGAAGGGGAAACAAAGGTCTCCTGGGCTCTGCCCCAGAGCATCAGAGGGAGGTGGAAGTCATTCTAGAAGAAGGGAATGAGCTAGCAGGGGAACAAAGAATGGTTCAGCTGGAAGGGGCTCAGGGCCAGACTCAGGGGACAGAGTCCTGGAGAAAGAGCCCAGAGCAAGTGTGGACCTACTGGAGTAGAAGAGACAGTTGCAAAATACAATATAGAAAGGATAACGAAGGGAGCTGCGTGCAAGGTCCCTAAGGACCACAGTGGACTGCCCAGCTGAAGCTGCCATATCACACCTTAGTGAATAATGAGAGAGGGAACAAGGAGAGGGCACGTACCTTGCTGTCTAGTTTCTTCATGGTGACCAGATCCAAGGACTTCAGAGAATGCCCAGTGGGTGTGATGAAGTAGAGGCAAACGTGAATCCTCGTGTCATGGTAGTCAAAGAGGGAGCGGCGGATCTTCAGCTCCTCTTGTAAATAGTTTTCAAACTGCGCATCAATGTAGTCGACTATAGGCCTGTAACTACAGACAGCTCCATCACCTGGGAGCCAGGTAGCTAAGCTGCTTGGAGGGCTCAGAGCCTAGCCACGCTATACTCTGGCCCTTCCTTTCTTCCATGGACTTATAAAAGGCTCTACCCTATCTGGTCCAGGTGGCTGACCCCCTTCCCAAGTAAAAACTGGTCAGTTAATGGCCACAATGCTTCAGAAGTCCCTGAGAGGCCCTGCCCTGGCCTCGCTGGAGTGTGGCGGCTCAACTACTCAAATAGGGGCAGTTTAAGGTGACATGTGCCCARGCACTTTTAGAACTGGGGTTAACATGGGAGGGATGGACGAGGCTAGGTGGGGCTGCCCTTCCCATCTCTTGCCTCTCGTCTTTATTGATCTGATCCCCGAAGCCCACAGCATCCACGATGGTCAGCTTGAGCTGCACGTTGCTTTCTTGGAGGTCATAGGTCTGGGGCCGCAGGCGCACACATTCCTCATGGTGACTGGCTTCTTCAGTCTCGAAGGTTGTGTTGAAAAGGGTGTTCATCAGTGTAGACTTGCCAATCCCCGTCTCTCCTAAGGAGAGGCGACAGGAGGGAGAGAGTGGATGTGGAAAGCTAGAACGGGGACTGTCCCTGGCTAGTGGCTAGGCCAGGGATGAAGGGGGAGGCTCAGGCATACTTAGGCCTGATACAAGAGAAAGGGGCAGGCCTCCCACTCCATCCCTCTCTGACCCTATTCCCTAGGAATTATCCCTTTTCTTAGTATAATAATGTGTGGGGGCTGGGATGTGCTAGAGTGCTTGCTTAGTTTGTATGAGGTCCTGGGTTTGATCCCCAGCACCACAAGAACAAAATAAAACAAAACAAAAAACAAACCAGAAGGTAAAGAAATAATGTGTGGAAGAAAGCTAAAAGGAAACTTTGGACATAAGACACAGCTGTGCAGAACATGCGACATTTCCTCATAAAGTGGAGAAGCAGAGTCAGACAGCTGTGAGGTCACCACCAGATGCTGGCTTCAGAGGGACCCAATCACCAAACACATATTCTCCCATGCATGCTATCCCCCCTAGGTCCCAGATGATTATAAGGACAGCAGGGTCAGGATCTAAAGCCACCATTGGCTTGTCCCACAAACCCTGAGTCACCTCAACTCTATGTAGTCCTTTTTTTAAAAAAAATAAATAAATACTGGGGATTGAACTCAGGGATACTTAATAAATAAGCCACATCCCCAGCCTTTTTTTCATATTTTTTATTTTGAGAACAAGTTGCTTAGGTCCTTGCTAAATTGCTGAGGCTGGCTTTGAACTTGTGATCCTCCTGCCACACAGCCTCTGTGTAGTTTAAACGGGGCTGGGGTGTGTGTATCTGGTAGAGCACTTTGTGCTCTCCTGGGAGTCTTGAGGCACGTGGTTCCTCCCAGAGCTCCTGTTTAAGGATTGTGTTTGTTTAGGCGTGTGCTGGAGATTTTATTATATGATACTGCCGTGAAGAGCAGGGTCTGGTTCACTATCGTGTCCTTGACACACAGAAGGAATAGTGCATTTTWWAAAAAAAAAAAAATGAATGAACAAATGAAACTAAATCTCTGTCTAGACACCCACAGTTTACAAAAGCATTTTCCTGTGCCTAATCCTATTTATTCTTCATGACAACTCTGAGTCAGTCCTTGACTCCAATCCTGTCTCCTTGACTCTGGCAGAGACACCAACCAAATCCTCTTCCTCTGCCTCAGAAGCCCCCACATAGTTTGACAGTGGTCAAGGCAGCAATGCCCCATCTCCTAGAAGGTTCCCATTCATCCTCTGTCCAAGGATGCCCCTGATCTGGCCATGACACTCACCCACACAGAGGATGTTGAAACTGAAGCCCTGAGTGACAGACTTGCTGACCAGCTGGTCAGGGAGGCTGTCGAAGCCCACATGGCCACCCAGGGAAAGGCTCCGGGGCTCTGGATCCGCATTCTGCTGAGAGAAGCAAAGCAAGGCTGTGAGCCCAGGCAGGGAAGGCTGTACCTGAGTGAAACAAGCCCTGCCTCACTTCCCCCAGTGCTCAGCACACCTTGACGGCCCCACAGCTACAACTCCACACTAATACTCCCACAAAGGGAGCCCAGCAATACTCAGAGACCCTGAATCGGCTTTGGGAAAGGCAAGGCCCTTTCCCTCTGAGGCTCTGCTCCATGTGGCATGGCCAGGGACACTTGGGCCTCAGGCTCCATCTCTCTTAACATGGGTAGTCCCAAGGCCTATGACTGATACCTCAGAGGGCTCACCTGTCCTCCAGCCTAGGAGGAGACCCCAGATTATCCCTGGATCTTAAATAAAGATTCCAAGAGTCCAGAGTGCAGAATGTATGTTCCTGTGGCCGGCTCTGAGGAGACAGTGATGCTGCTGCCCGCTCCCAGATCCTCCTTTTCCCAACCCCTCACATTCATGCTCCATTAGAGAGGACTACCCCATCAGTCTGGGCTCATGTTCCTCCACGTCCACCCCCTACTCCTTGTGCACTCAAGTATGTAATGCACACATGGGTCCCGTTAAAGGGGCTGGTAATCATGAAGACAATCCCACCCCTTGGGCTCAGAGAAAGCCTCTTACCTCCTTCTCAGTGATATTCTCTAGAGACCTCCTGGCTCTGGCTCCTGTCACCCTCCCAACCAAATCCAAGCTATGGTTGCTTACACAGAAGATTCTGGATGAGAATGTGGGGCCTGGCTTTAGCAGAAAGATGGACAGCAGGCCCCAAGTGAGCAGGAGGTCACAGGAGCTGGCCCATAGCACCACAACAAGAAATGAATCATGAGAATATGAAGCAGAGGGTCAAGGTCAGATTCCCCTTTGTGTAGATGATCTCTCTGGCTTCTCTGGGAATCAAGGCAAAATGCTCAGCCCCACTGAAGGGAAGGCCCCACACAACTCCATGCTGGGCAGAAACATGGAGCTCCTTCCTGAGCCCCTCTGCTCTGACCACCAGCTAAAGACAGGAAAGGGCAATGGGTTCAGAGTCCCACCTTCCCAGAGCTCCCAAGGGGAGGAAGCAGGCCCAGCGGAGGTCAGTACAAGAGCTACTGCTCGGCACCATGGCTGCTCTCATACAAATGTAGATACAGGTAGAGCGGGCAGAGGGACAGAGGACTGGACAGGAGGGCCCTGTTCCTGCTCTGCAGAGGGATCTCCTCTGTACCTGAGTGTCTGACTCAGCCTGTGGCCTCTGCCCCTTGGAGCAGTCTTTCCTCACAACCAGAGCCATCTGGCACTCAAACCCAACTTCCTTCCCCATTTACGCCCACCTATCCATGGCAGCCCTGCACCACTGGTTCCTAAGTATGTCTCTTGACAGGCTATACCCCACTTGGCCTCTTTGTGTACTATGCCCTCTGAAATAAGTCCAGGTTACCCCCCAAACTTGTTTTCTCCAGTGACTCTCTTAGTGGAGCCTCTTTTCTTACAGCTGAACCTTCCTCCCTCCCCTAACCCCAGGGCATCATGGCCCAAGCTCCCCACTAAGCCCAGGCTCCTTTAGGGCTGCAAACATAACCCGACAAAGAGTCCCCAGGCAGCATCTACATCAAGAACAGTGCATGGGGCCTCGGATATGGCTGCCAGGAACAACCCCCTTGGTGTGGCATTCCAGGCCTTCTTCACAGGCTCAGCTTCCGCCCCACTGGCTACTTCTCAATTCACTTTATAAGCTCTGCCCTTCCCTAGGCTCCAGAGCTCTAGCTTTTCCCTGGTACTGCTGTCACCTGGCCTGCTGCACTGTTATGTATGCTTTTATGCATCTTGGTTCTCCACCTATTCCATAAGCTTCCGGAAGTTGGCTGCAGGTTGGGGGAGATCATGTTTCCCATTCTTCTCACCAGCATGCTCAGTGCTAGACAACACTACCCATTTATTACTTACTCTATGGGCGTCTGCCCACCTGACAGAGGGCTTCATTATTTGGTCTATTTTCCCCTTGCTCTTGGCAGTTTGAGGATCAAATGGAGGACACAGAACAGTTAGTCTGGAGCTTTCTTCTTTTTGGGTGAGACAGAAAATCTCTAAAATTTAAGGCGTGCTGTGCTTGCAGAGAAGGCTATGTGTTTATTCATCCTCCTGTTCCAAGGGTGACACAATCAGGATGCAATCCAACATCCTGTAGCCTGCCGCCAAAACCCACCAAGTCAGCTGTGTCTGGAAACCACACACACACACACACACACACACACTCCACAGCAGAATACTTGCAGAGAAACAGAGACCATCCTGTGCCTCAGATCCCCACCCCCCACCCCACATACAGTTCCAGGTTTCAGAGGCTTAGAGCAGCACTGGGGGACTCACATAAGCCCACCTACCCAGGCTCCTGCCTGCCTGCCCTTCACTCCTTCAGCTCAGCTCTCTCTGTGGAAGTGTGTGGAGGATGGAGGTCGTTATCCCCCAGTTGTTGCACAGGCTGCACTCTGTCACCAAGGTCACACACCTGGGACAATTGCTGCCGGAGAGCTTCAGGGTCAGTGGGGGTATTCAGTTTATGGAGCACATGCACATACATGGCCCTAATAGAAATAGTGTTCTTCCCTGGTCTCAGGAGGCAGATGTGATCTCTCAGTTTTATCAATGGTGGTGCTCAGTGATGCCAGCCTCCCTGATCATATATTTGACATCAACAACATGTGATCCAAGATACATGGCTGGCTCCAAGGTGCTCACCACAGGTGTCTACTAATCTGAGCAGGATCACAGCCTACAAGAAGCCAGCAGCCCCCGAGGCATCTCCTGCAAGTCTCAGAAATAAAATTAGGTATCCCATTGGCTACCAGCCCTTCCATTGGGTGGGAATCGCTCAGCATGATTCCATAATTGGCTCAGATACAGGCAGATGACCCATATGGAACCTTTATAGCCATCTCAAGATGGCTATAAAGAGCCAATGTCTGCCCTACTTCTAGGCCTACCCCTTTACCCCTGGCTGTATATGCCCTTAATTGCTTAAGCCAGTTGGGTGGAGTACTCTAGTACTTGCAACTGAAAGTACCTTGACTGCTGCTGTGAAATTCTGGATGCACAGGAATGGGGAGGTGGCGGTGAGCAGAGAGACCTCAGAGTGGAAAGATGTGGGAGGTCAAGTGTCACAGAGTTCACAACCACAGGAAGGAATGGGTATCAAAGATGACACCAGCACCACACTGAGGACCACTATGGGTGAACTTGACCAAGTGTGTTACACGATCTCTCCCTAAGTCTATGCAGCAGGCATCACTTTACCAGTGAGGAAATTAAGGCACATGATGTGGGAACTAATCAGGGCACAGCAGGGATGTGAGAGTAAACCAAGCCCTTGCCCCTAACCATGCTGGTACATCAGTGTCACTCATCGCACACCTATTGGACACACCTGCTGTGTGCCAGGCACTGGGATGGCTGGCAATGAAAAGAGGGCGCCAGATCCTTTGCCTTCAAAAGGCTCATTCTAAACTCAAGTGCTTAGAGGCCAGACAGGTAATGTAAATGCATGAAGAGAAGCAATACAGTAATAATGATGACAAGAACAAGCTAGCATTCATCGGGCACTTGCTGTTAACAGCTCTGATTTAATATCATTTAATTCACATATCGGTCCTGTGAGATTGGCCGTAACATAGTTTGCACTGAACAGATGAGACCACTGAGGCAACGCTAGCTTAAGTAATTTGCACACAAACATGCTGCTCAGGAGGGTGAGGCCAGGCTCTCAATGGAGACAGCATGATGGAGAAACGCACACACGTGGCTGCATGGCAACCCTGGATGCTGGAGGAAAGATGCCACTGACATGGCCAAGTGCGGGATCCCCCAGGGAGACTAAGAATAGTGGGGAGCTGCAGAGCCCCTGTGTACACATGACCTGTGGTGGTCACAGTTCCATGACTCCAGCCAACTGTGGGAATGCAAGTCTAGTGTTACCAAACCTTACTTTTCAAGAGAATTCATAAATCTAGATCTTTGCGTGAAATCCTCTAAATTTTAAAGGTTGGCAACAAATACAATCTGAGAATCCTGGGAGGGCCCAACACAACATATCAGGGGCCTGGTCTAGACCAAAGGCCTGACCGTCTGCAACCTGGGCCTAGAAGGAGAATGAGCTGGAGCTACGATGCACCTGCCTCTGTTCTCAAGCGTGGAGACCGACAGGACACTGTTCCACAGGGAGGAGCCTGGGTGAATGGTCAACTTGGACCCTGGAGAAAGGCAGACCCTGCTGCCTCTGGCCCTTTCCACATGCCTAGCAACTTGGGGTCTCATTCAGGGACCTCTTAATGTCTTCAAAGCCCAGAACAGTGAGAGTTGGCAGCCTGGGGCTCTACACACACAATGAGAATCTCCATGGGGACATTATCCCCCCTCTAATCACTAACAAGCTTTTGGCTCCTGAGCCAAGCCCCTGGCTTCTGTGTCATCATTTCTTTGGCATATCAAAGACAACAACCAAAATAATAACTACTCAGTCGGCTGTGTTCCTCCATGCCTGGCCATCCAAAACAAAGTGGAGAACTGTATTTTGTTATGCAGGCCAGCGGATAACTAGGACGTCCTATTCCTGATCAGGAAGTGCTCTCTGAGTCTTCTGGATCAACCCTAACTTAACTGCCAGCCAGAAGGAGCTGCCCACTTTACCAAGAAGCAAGATGGGATTTAGGGGAGAAACTACTGTTTGTGGCTTAGCCACACACAAATAATAGCCTTTTATCCAGAAAAAAAAGAAAGAAAGAAAAAACAGAAATCTGATCAACGTCCAAACCAACACAGCCAGGAAAGATGTGGGTAAATAAAGACCCCCAAACCAAGATAGTTGTTAGGGTGGAAATAGAGGGGAAACCCCACACAGTGGCATGTGGCTTCTGAATCTTAAACAAAGGATAGCCCCATCCCAGGCCTTCCACAGAGTTCTTTACGCCTTGGGCTTGGGACACTTGTCTTCACCTGGGTTCCCATGCATCCAC